TCTCTCTCTCTCTCTCTCTCTCTCTCTCTCTCTCTCTCTCTCTCTCTCTTTTCACGTTCTCTTCCCCAAAGCGTCGCGTCTTTGCCTGTTAAGCCGCATAATCGGTTTACTTTAATTTAATTAAATGAATGCGCGAGGAAGAAGGGGAGAGACCCGCGCGAGACGTTCTTCGAATCGTTTGGTGTGTAGCTAGGGACTTGGTGTGATTTTCAGTCTCCAACTGCGAGATCATAATGCAACTCCCTGATCTTTCTCTTTCCTTGTAAAGTGGACAAATATTCGCGGCCGCGTGGTAACTCGCACAACAAGGTCGCCGACACAGTCGACGAGAAATTCCGTACACGTGGAATATTTTTCTTCCCGCGGACGCGCGCCTCTCTTTCTCTGTTGCGCGTCGCGAGTTGTTTACCTTCCGCGAATTATCGTCCCGCGAGATATCGAGAGAGAACGAAAGAGAGAGAGAGAGAGAGAGAGAGAGAGCTCCATCGGGAGATGGGGAAGAAGCACTCGCGTAATTGCACGAGAAATCGGCTCAGCTGTCGGCGATTCGCGTCGCCCGGCGTTTGTTCGCTCATAAATTCGCGACCGTCCGGTGCAAAAAGCGAGAACTCCTTCCGGCCGGGCGGCACGCGAAATTCGGTATTATCGCGCAATTTCATCGGCGCCGTTTCGATGAACAGCCGCCACTCGCTGTGGATCCGTCTGCAATTCATTCGATCGGTTTATTTCGCGTTTAATGAGATTATTCTGGCGTTCCGCGCGGCAGCGACGCAGAAATATCGGCCGGTACCCAGCGTCGCGTTGAAGATCGACCTGTCGGTCGTTATCGGCTGAATAAATAATTAGCCGTATTATCGTCCTCTTCCTCCTCCTCCTCGTCATCGTCGTAGAGCGATGAAAGGCGGCAAAAAACTAAACGCAGGACGGGCGAAAAAAAGCGACCAAGCGTCGGGCGCGGCAGCGGCGGATCGCAGCTATTGTCTCGGGAAAACGCGGTTGCTTCTATTTTTCTCCTTTTCCTCTCTCTTTCTCTCTCCCGCTTCCTCTCAATCGCTCTTTTTCTCTTCCTCCCTCTCTCTCTCTCTCTCTTTTACTATGCGCGCCCGTCACGGCGGCGTAGCCATTCAGTCGCAATTAGGATTATTTATTTATCGCACTCGCAGCGAGCCGTCGATGTCGAAGGGTTTCTCCCCTTCGCCTCCCTGTCGCTCCTTGCCGGCCCTCTTTTTGCCCGGATCGGCGCTTACGCGAAAACGCTTCAGCCGCAGGCGCACAGGTCACGGATGGTTTTCTTCGCGCGAATATATATATATATATATATATATATATATATATATATATATATATATATAT